ATCACCTAGCTTATATTTATCATGTAGATTATATTTCTATTTAAGTCGAACGAACATTAATTTCGATTATGGATATTGATATACTAAAGATTCTAAACCTGAAAAATTGTGTAAAACGTGTATAATAAGAATGTTTTTACACAAGTTACTGAGTATGTTATTGCATAGTGAATAAAAATAATTTAAAAAAAATAAGAAGAAGAAAAATAGAAAAAGTAACAGTTGAGAAAACTTTATGAAAAAATATTAAAAGAAAATTCGAAAAGAAAGAAATTATATTTCAAGAGTAAAACGATGGTTGAAAATAGGTTTATTTAACTTTTTGTAGGACAAAAAGTTGACAGAGTGAAAAACACGAACTAGAAAATTAATAAAGAGAAAAGACAATGAATGAAATACATAAAACTTATAAAAACAATGTTTATTGTCTTCATATATATATATATATATATATATATATATATATATATATTGTTATATAAAAATGCACCAAAATATAAAGAGTTAAAACGATAAAAATTAAAATCGATCAACAAGTCTATACTATTTTCATGCTTAAAACGAATTTTAAAATTTATCTTATCTTAAGTTTTAAATAAGAATGTTCTATGTATTTCAATATATATGTTCGCTTATTTTATACTCGAATATTGAATGTAACCGAAATAGCAGATGTTAACTTTCTTTAATTTTAATGTTAATTTCAAACAAACTGATGTAGCAATTATAAATAGACGAAACTTAGTAAATCAGACTATTTTAAGATACTATAAGTACTTTTGTAAGATAAGTTAATTATAAATACACTTACTATAATGAAAAACAGTTAATTCTTAATAATGAAAAGAGCGCATGTAGAAATGCATTTTAAAATATTATAACAATAATTTTTAGTATTATTCATATATAATTACATGTGCGTATTGCCTACATAAATTCAACTATTTTTTTTTCAATGATTATATTCGATATAAAATATATTATTATGTGAAATTGTATAAAGTTAGCTTCGTATTACATTAAATCGATAAAATCACACTATGAAGCATAAGTGAAACTACATTGCAAAAATTTCAAACTTAAAATTCAGTCTAAAGTTGAGGAGTTTCTCGCAAACTCGTAAATTTTGTCATTTTCTATAATCTGTGTATCGACCAGATTTTTCATTGACACAATTTAGATGCATTTCTACTGCATATGCATGAGAGATTCGAATGAAAGTGAAATTGAACTGTATAAACATAAAAGGAGATAATGTAGAGTATACGTGTCGCGCATATAGATTTTCTAATTCGATTAAGTTCAACTGATATAAAATAATTACATCATTAATCAGTATTACTTTGTAAAATGCATAATTCAACATGCATAATGAATTCGCTATATTGAACAATTTATTAATCACATTTAATCTGTATGTATATGATATAATTTGTAATCAATATTAATCAACAAATTAAATAAGTATATACGCTATTCATATTTTCGTAAATATTTATATGAATTTTTACAATGACATTCATTTAATCTGGTTTATTTTCTTAACATAATAATTAGAAATAAATTTGCTAAATTTTACTTAAAAATTAACATTTTTTTTATAGCAAAAAATTTGTTGTTATAAATATATAATTTTGCTATACAATTATATAAAATTGCAACATATTCTTATTCAACTCTTGGCTTTTATTAAATTATTCCTAGATTAAAAATTTCAATATTCAGAAATAAAAAAATATATTTGTATATTATTAGTATAAATCAAGTAAAGTACGAAGAAACGAATTTTTAATATTTTAATTCATGATTCAATATATACTCATAATGATGAAATATTACTTTAATAAAACTAAATAAAATTTCGTTATGCTTTGATTATAAAAATATATAGTTGATGTGTTAGAGGTAAACTTTTATCAAACAATAATAGGCATGAGAATTTATATTTTTTTAGTCTCATTCTATAATGATTCTCTGGCAGAAAAGATATTTAAAATTCATTAAAATTATTATAAAATGTATCGTTAGATGCTTCCTCGGCACTGTTCATTAACCATGAAAATAAGGAAAAACACTTCAAGAAACATGATGTTTTCATCCACATTTCAAAATTTAGTTCATCAAGTGCTTCTTCTTGCCATCATCGTTATTATTATCTATTATTGTTATTGTCGATGTTATTATTATTATTCTTATTACCGTTATAGAACTATTGTGATATAAAGTAGTCCTTATAATAAAGTTTGACTATTATAAATGCGTTGAAGAGGCCCTCATTGAATTTTTCTGGGTATATTTCAAAGTCTAAGTGAAAGTCTTAATTTATATAACGTCAGAGTATTTTCTAATAAAAAAATATTTAATTCCATCTTGTGCAAAAGATTCAAGCGCAACTTCTCTATCGGACAATACCACATTTAAGTTGCGAAGGCCGTCCAATTATAAAGCAATCAAGCATGAGGTTATATCCGGGCGAGGACTTGGTAAGCACCTCGGATGCCCCTAATTATCAATATAACGTAATGCTTGATCGCTTTGTAATTGGGTTGGCTTTTTGGTTTCAAATGAATTATAGATAAATTCATCTAATGTGCCATACAATAAATCAAGCTTATTAAATTACAGATACCGGTAAAATGTTATTATAGAGAATCAATTGAATGAATGTATAGGTTTGTAACACGTTGTTAATAATGTCTTTTGATTATGAAATAAAACAAATATTAACAAATATCAACTGTAAATAACTACAACGTCTAACTTATTATTCATATTAACTATTATTGTTATAATAAGTGTTTTTATTAGAATGTAGGTATATTATGAATGAAATATTATGTATGAAGTTTAAGTAATGTAATGTATAATGATAGAATGTATTGTGATATTTTTGAATAGATACGAGCGAAAAATTGAAGAAAAAAAAAAGTCATAATAAACTGCTATTGGTATGTATATATTTTCAATTTAATTATTATTCGAATTCAATGGATATACCATTAGTGATAATGGCCAGTGAAATTTTACGATAAATAAAAGAATGTTGAATAATTTTGTGAATTTTGATTAATAATATATGTAGAGATTTTTGAAATATTTAATATTTAAATTTTAGTTAAATTTTCCTTAATTTCACTATTTACTTGGTTTATAATAATAAATAATTTTTATGAAAATAATTTCAATCTCTCAATCATTATTAATTTCTGAAATAGCGATTGATTATGGAGCAAAACTACAATTGATATATTCGTTCTAATTAATCTATCTATTAGCAAAAAATAAAATAATTAAATGTACTAATGCTTGTAATAACTTTATCAAAATAATTCAAATATTTTAAAAAATAATGAGAACATATTGCATTCCTTTGTCTTTATATTAAAGCGTAATATGACTTTTTTTTTTTTTTTTTCTAATAACATATAATATTTCGTCTTTATATTGATGCATCAATTATAACGACAATAGTTTGTATATATAAATTTTGTGTAACGTATATGTGCGGTTACATCAAGCCATGTGCCATTACATCAATTAATTTATAATCCGCTTTATGTCTATAATAAATATTATTAAATTACATTTAAAGTCAGCGATCGACACATTAAGACTACTTTATGCGAGTGACTTTTTGGCTAATAAGTTAACTAAAATAATTCTCATTAAACGATGTAAGATGTATGTAATTACAAATATTCGTTTATGTTTTAATTTTGATTTAATTTTTCTAATATGAATTTGCAACTTGAAGAATACACTGAAGATTGTAGAATATTTCGTAAATTCTTATTATCTGAACAGTTGAAGAAAATTATGCGTATGGAAAATTTAAGCGTATTATGAAATAACAAATCTTAACATGTTTTTTTTATAAAATTTTTAATTTTCATAAACGTTTGCATATATCTTATATTCATAAGATCGTAAAATCAAATGATTATTAACAATAATATAAAATATTATAAAATAAAATATTATGCAAGAATTTATGAAAGTCTAGTAATAATGTTGTATTTAACGTGAAAAACAATAAAAAATAACTATTGAAGATATTCAATATGATATATTTAAATTGTCGCAAATTTTTCTCTAAGTAGTAATACATCTATTTAATCTGACATGTAGTATGTTAGTATCGATATCAACTAGCTCCAATAAACGATACATTTTTTCTTATTGATCTACCATAATAAATATTAACTACATTTATTATTTAGACGCTTCTTTTTTATTAATCATTGCGACAACTCTTTTTATTTATACGTAGCTTGAACTATGTATTTCGTATTAAGAATATTCGTTATTTAACACAGAAATAAATGAAATAAATAATTGTGTCTATAAAACTAATTTTATTAAACCTGATGTTTAATATTAATTTCTATAAAACCACTATTTACTATAAAAACTCAAATCTAAATATTCATCTATATTCATGAAATTTTCTTAATTCTGCATCTACAAGTATCCAATTTTTTTCAAATAAAGGGCATGCGGGTCGTTGATTTCTATAAGCGTTGAATTAATGTTTGAATTATCTCGCTTTGATCTTCAAAGTTTTATAATATTATTAGGATATTTCGAGTAAAATTACACTCAATACATCGTTGGAAGGGATTGATTCTACGGAAGCCTCCGCCGACACTCTTCCCGACCTTTCATTTCGAAGTGCTCCAAACGCAAAATTCATGACTAATAGGAATAGGCGCATCAATCTAAGCAAACATATTGCACCTGAACCCTTAAAATTGGGAGAATGCGCAACGGTAGTGGGATAAGTAGTGGGTAACGGGAGTAAAATGGGTGAGGCGGCGATTGTGGTGGCGGAGGTGAAGGTGGAGGTGGTGGTGGTGGTGGTGGTGGTGGTGGCGGCGGCGGCGGCGGCCGCTGCAGCAGGAGGTGGGGAGGATAGCGTGCAATCAGCCCGAACTCGCAACGGTCTCTCAGGGCTCGTGGCGATGCTGTTGGCGAGCACTGCGTTCCTGGAACTGACGTACCTCCAATGCGGCTAGCTGTTCGGCTTGCAGCGTCGTAACCCGGCGGGGCGGTGGCGGCGGCGGCAGCCGGTAACTCATGCCGTCCCCAGTGACTCCGTAAAGCTCCAGCATAACGCCTTCAGTGGGTTCCCGAATGCTCAGCCGTGTATCTCTATCCTTCTCTAGCCGGTACTCTGGATCGCCGGTTGATGATGCACTGTATTATCTATCTTATAGTCCGCGCTATCCGCCTCTTGCTTTGTTCAAGCGCGCCAACTTGCGCATCTACCGCTCCAACTACTGCTCCCGTTAGCTCCTAAACGACCACATTTAATCGTCCACTCTCCACATCTATATATATACATAAAAACATTCGAATACACCTGGATGCATATTAAATTATTTATATATTTATTCGTCGATAATTGGATATGGTAAAACGCACTCCCGGCACATGCACACGTGCTTGCTACGTGTAGCTGGCAATAATCTCACACGTATACACAGATCCACGATATATGCGCACACACATGCATGCATACATAAACACACGTGTATATATATATATATATTTTTTTTTTTATATGTATGTATATATTTATTTATTTGTTTCCGTAAACATAAATAAATAAGTTAATACATAAATAAACATACAGATGTATGTATTTATGTAATAATATCTATACGTATACATATACATATACATATATATATATATATATATATATATATATATATATATATATATATATGTATATGTATATGTATACGTATAGATATTATTACATAAATACATACATCTGTATGTAAGTGGTGTATACGGTGGCGTGAGTGCGCGCACGTGTATATATATATGTGTGCGTGTGCGTCTGTGTATCAGAATGTGCCTGTGAACGCGTTTCGAGCGCGGGAGCAAAATCGAAACACACGATCCTCCAGTCGTGGTGGCTCCGCGAACACTGACTTCGAACGCAGGCGACGCAACGCGCTTCGAGCTTTCGGAAACTATGAGTACGACGGGAGGATCGCGCGCCGCGCAAAATAGGTGAGAGTGGGGTGGAAGATAGAGAGAGAGGGCGAGACACGAGATGGAGCAGGATGTTACATGCGTATTTAGGACATAAACTGTGTATTCTTAGTACGGGGAAGCTTTCCGGAAGTGAGGTAAAAAAAGAGAGATGAAAAAGTAAGGGTAAGAAGCGAGAGATTAGAATGACGAGTAAAGAGAGGACAAGGAAGAGAGTGAGTAAAGGTTGGTACGAGAGGATTAGAAAGGAAAGTGGAAGGCAGAGACCGAGATTCCAAAGATAGATGAGTAGAGAAGTAGAAAACAGAAGAAATAACATGGGAGAGCTGGAGATGTCGATAAATTGCATTAGAATGTGAAAAAGGAAGAAGTTAAGTTCGAAAGAGGAATAGAGTCAGTCGGAAAGGTAAAGAGAGTATTAGAAGAGAATTAGAAAATAACTCGGTAAAATAAGATGCTGCGGTAAGTAATGTATGAGGATTTTCACAGTGGACTTGAAATAGAGCTAAGAACAGAGACAAACGTAGAGAAACGGAGAGGAATAATCATATAAAAATATTATAAATCAATATATAAAGAAAATCTTGTGAGATTGAAAATAAAAGATGAAGAAGAAAGTAAAATCTTATGTCCCTATGAGGATGAGTTCATCAAATAAAAACGCAAGAAAAATAAAGAGAAAGGTAATATAAGATGGGAATAAGAATAGACACAATAGGGAAGAAAAGTAAGTTATTGGAATAGAAAAAGAAATTGTGTAATATAGAGAAAGTGAAGGAAAACGCGTAATAAACAGATTGCGAGGAAATAGTAGTAGATAAGAAATAAAAAGACTAATCTCGGAGGAAAAATAAGGGGAGCGAGAATAAGTGGAACAGTTTACAAGAGAGTGGGAAAGGATTGAAGAGTGAAAGAGGTAAAGGAAGACAGTGCAAGACAAGCATATATGGCCGGGGATCTTTGGCGCACGCGCGGATCTCTATATTCACTCGTATTCCCCTCTCGGCCTCTACCGTCGGCAAGGATGGGGCTATCGACCTCGAACAGGAGGGGTAACTCATCCTCCCCGCTTGGACCAACTCGCTTGGAAAGCGTTATTTTGAATCCTGGAGCCACAAAAAAAAAAGGACGCCATTATATCGGGAGCTACTCGAGCTGTACCATCAATTTCCATATTGTTGTTAATTCGCGTGCTAAGGCGTCGTACGAACTATGTTTGTCTCTATTCCTAAGGGCTGGCTAACTCGAACGCCTCTCCAATGAAAAATATCTTTTTACAATATACGCTCTCTTCAAAGATATGAACTCACTTCAAAATCAACCGACATAATTTCTTTTAATTTTACTTAAGACCATCGTTTTACAAAGCCTTCGAATTTTTAACATTCGTGGAATATTAATTTGAAAATGATATCTGCAAATCATTATCGAGCAAGTACCCGCGGAGCCTGCCGACTGTTGACAATAGTACCGAAAATCGGTATAAAGTAGATTTTTATTGTTTTTATATATTTTGATTATATGTTAGAGCAAGTAACGCAAATGTTTGGAACAAAATGTTCAAAGTCTCCTTGCGCGTAATAAAGCGTTCGTCAACTTACAGTGGCAAATTACAAATTTTTCCAACCACGCTTTACTTATTATATCAAATTTTCATATACATTTCACAAAATTAAGTAATTTTAAATAGTTTTTAGAAATAAATATGTGCATGGTCGCGTCGACGTGTAAAACACGTCTGTATAAAATAAAAAATAATATAATTTTCATGAAATTATAATGAAAATTCATTGTGAAGAGATTCTTTTATTAATTTTCTTTGTATAAATAAAAAATTACAAACGAATATTATTGTTAACGGATAATAATCATAATACATATGAGATAAAACTTATAAATCTGTGGAATGAAGTTAGACGATTATATTGAAACTTTAAAATGTTTATAAGACTGCAAGATTTTCTCGTCCTTAGCTCGATTATCTCCTTACTTCATATGCCCGTCCGACAAGTATTAAAAAACAAACAATTAAAAAACATTAAAAAACTTAATCAAACGCTTGATCTATAGAGCCAATACGAATGACAATGAAATCGGCCAAAACAGCTTATATCATAATAATATAAAACGATCGATTAGTTTTTTATTTTTTGTTTTTTTTTTTTTGTTTTTTTTTTGTTTTTTTTTTTTTGTTCTTTTTTTTGTTTTTTTGTTTTGTTTTTTTTTTTTGTTTTTTTTTTACTAATATTCTATTTCTCTGCTATTGCAATTAAATAAGATATAATTAGATAATCGATGTTGAATGATTAAACTTCACAGCTATCGATCGATTTGGATTTATATTAATTTCGAATTTTGTTTATCCGGCAACGATATCATTGACTTTAAATACCTTAATAAGCTATTTACTTCATAATATATTGCAGCACAAAGGCTATTATGTCCATCTTTCTGATAATTCGGCTTTAAAACAAACTAGTCATTATGATGGTCTCGCTAATTCAAAGTCAATATAGCGCGAAATGGTTGATAGCCGAAACGCTTAATGAATATTGAAATAGCGTTGTATTATATCATTAAAGGATTTATTAGAGCATAGAATATCTAAATGCATTCGAAACCATTATCGACCATCATCGGGATCATTTATGAAATGCTGGAAAATTAACACTTAATAATAACGAAAAACCAATTATTAAGAGTCTTTGTGTGAGTTTCTTATCCTTCTAGTTATAATTGTCATGAAATAAATGAGCGAGCCTCGCGGTAAATAAGAGATCCGGCCATTTTCCGAGTGACGGATATCAAATAGAATATGCGGATTAAACACGGATTAATCAGATCGTAGATTTCACTTTGAAAAGCGACTTTGAACTGCGCACGAAACATGGTGGATACTTGTTGCAAAAAGGCTTCTTTATCAGCGCAACTTTTCAAAACGGAAGTTTTGATCTTCACAAGGAAATTCAAATAAAATAGAACTTGTAAGGTCGTGGTAGTTGGATGTAAAAGTCTGATAGTACATGAAGTGCCAAGTACTTAGAAGTTATCTTGAATTCGAGGTTCAACCCGGACAAACCAAGTTAACAACAAGTTTCTAAAGTAAGCGTGACTCTAAAGCAACTTGGAAAGAAATTTATGGATTAAAAGTATGAAATTATCTGGCATATAATCTCTAAAGCAATAATATCGAATGTTTCGTATTTATGGAAAGTTATGCTTGAGTTTAATGGAGCTCAATGCTGTTGTAATAATGTAGGGATTTATTTTTATAATAATCCTATCCTCGCAGTTTCATTCGTCTCAAAAATAATATAGGATCGTGTAAATAAATTGTCTTGGATGAATTAGATTAGGATCGAGCAAGTTTCGTAAATTATTTCACGAAATTCATATTCATGTGATAATTATTATTGTCCTGTTAAAAATCTCGTATTTTCTTCTTTTTTTCTTTTTTTTTTTTACACATAGAGTAAGCGTAAATGAAATTTTTATTCCAAATATAATCGGACGATAGTGAAATGTCTAAAGACATTTTGTGAAAAAGCCCAAACTCAGCATAGTTTTACGAAATCGCTGTCCTTACCTTATTAGAGAAAACTTTCTCCAGAGGTCACAGTAGCGCGAAAATAAATCCATGAAAATTGAAGAATTACATAATTATTCACAAACACTGACACGCACGCATTCTTATATTATTCTATATACAAATTGGAAATAGTGATTTATTGTAAAAGTAGGACCATAAAGAATAATGGAATAATGATGATTAATAATAAAAGAATTTCTTCATAATTGTGACAAGTTCAATTTACTATAAAATAATAATAAACTTTATTAATGCAATTTCATCAATTTTAAAATTTTTATTTTCTTTAAATTGAAAAAGTACTTTACAGTGTGTATATTTAAAAGTATGTATGGCAAATTTACTCGTAAGCGTATATTCTGTAAAATTATAAAATTATATCTAATTTGTATATTTCCAACTTTTTAATCACAGTATTTTTATATCCTTTCTTCAATAAATCTGATACCCTAATAATAAATGTAAGAATTGCCGATGTTAAAACTACGAATGTTAAAATTATATAACATAAATTTTTCATTATTTATTAGTGTATTTACAATTATATGGAATGTGGAAGTGAAAATTCGTTTTATCAACAATTTTTTTTTTTTTTTTTTTTTTTTTTTTTTTTTTTGGCATATTTTATACAGTTTTATGCTATGTTGTATAAATTATGCATTTTAATAATTCAAATACTCTTCCTTTAAATGCGGTATTTCATTAATCACTGCACCACTTG